ACGTAGTCAAGGATAGCTTCAAAAATTGCTGCACGGGGCTTTAGATTCTGCTGAAATTCATGAAACTCAACGGCACTTGGACGAACTTTGGCGAGGGAGAATCGATCTATTTACGAGCGGTACGACTAAAACAAGCTTCGTACAACACATCTCGAACTGTGCACAATCAATTATCGGTTGGGATCTCTCCTTATTTTTGGATTATCAAGATGACGTCCAAGGAGATTTTAAAATAATATATGGGAAAATGGACCTCAAATTTACAGCTGGATCGTAAGCATGTGGAAGAAGGTAGGCGTTGAATTTTGCACCTCTTTTCCTTGTCAATAACTCGGCTACTCCATTTTAAACACATTTCGAAGTGTGCACAAGGCACCCATTGCTTCTGAAATAATATATTTTGAAAAATGTCTTTTTATCTATACATTTTCTGAAGTATTTTAAGTGCCATTTCTTTATATGATGCGCAAGCACGGTCGCCATCTTGTCCCAAATTTCTGGCAATGTTTTGATGTTCCATCTTTCCAAAGAAAACTGTACCATTCATGTTAAACATGTGCTATTAATGAGGGAATCCCCTGAAAGCATTCGAGCCTTATCGAGTTAGTGCCGATGTCACACTCGGATATGGGTTCGATTGTATTACATACTTATGCCGTTTGTTGTTGGGGGCATGTTTATCCGTGTGGAAAGTCACGAATTTCTCCAGAAGGTTGCTAGACTCTCCCTCTTGCTCTCTTGTTATCTAAAGTTTAGAACATGCTTTGATGAACTCCCTAACATCTGAGACTGAGCCTCACTCCCTAACACGTCCGCCATTTTGAAACAATCCAAAACTTGCTAGATGCAGAGTATTTCTCAAGTAACATAACTGAAAAAAAAACAGACAGAACAAAAAGAAGCATTTCTTGCTGATTTCCCAAAAAGAAGTTCATGGTGAGAAACTTCTACAATAAGTCTAAGGTTACTTGAAGTTGCAAATTACAGGAATATTTCTTGTAACTAAGCCTGTTTCTAGCCCTTGAGTAACTTCTACTTGTGCAAACATCTGAGGGCACAGTTTTGTGATGTGGAGCTGTGGACAAGTTCTGACTAGCATCCACTTGCCTGACAGTCATTTTAACTAGTCCAGCCTCTTCTTGCCCACTGGACATAAATAGGTTATAGTCCACCAGCTCGATCACAAAATCTATTTGCCTCAAGTAATCAGACCTGACAGCTGTGTACAAATCATGGAATAGCAGTTTTTTTTTAATGACTACCAGGGTTACATCTAAAAGGGGAGCTACAAAAATGAAAAAGTCTCCAGAGGTTTAATGTTTTCATTGTTCTCAACTTCTAGACAAAACTTTTCATTAATAATTGAACCTGCTTCATTAAAACAAAGCAGTTGGCTTTTTACAATGTTATTAAAATTCAAGGAGCTCCTAGAATTGCAGTGCATAAGTGGAAGAAACAATAGATTTTATTTATTTGGAATCTAAACTAATCTTGTGAATAATCTTTAAGGGCCTGCTTTGATACAAAGGTTGAATCTGGAAAAAAATAATCATTCAATTAGAAATAATATTTGTTCATTTTTGTTACAGAATCTGTGACCCATTCTACTCTTTTATTATTTTACACAAATTCAGATTAGTTTTACACATCACATCATCATGTGAGGTTATTAGACCAATCACGAACATATGTGTGGAGTAGAAAGCTTCTAATGAGTATGACCATGGTAAGATTTACATCATAGGACTAGCACTTAAAAGCGGTGTCATCTAAAAATTTGTTTTGTAATTAAGTAAGCCTTCTTCTAGACTGAGATAAGTTGCGCATGTCTAATTTGGTCATTTTGTCAATACCTCATGATCAATGGAAGGAAATGAGTTAATCTCAATTCAAGCAAAGAGTGTATCAGATCATTAAGGGATGCCACAGTGTGACTTTGCGCTGTTTCTATCTTTCTTATGTCAATGCATGTGAAAGTCATTGCTTAATCATGAGCTTATTGCACCATTTAGTTGAGTGGACAGAATGTCCTTCCTTGACCACGGTGAAGGCAGTGGTAGGATGCTGGTCCACCTCTGGGCACTGCTGAAGGTGGTGCTGTTAATGAATCAGAATGATTCAATTGGGTTCCTTACACTGCTGACCTTTTCACCTTTCTTTGACCTTTCATAAAATTATCATTTCAGCCCAACAAAATTTCATAATAAAGTAAAACCCTCTCTAATGTACCCCACTCCCTACGTGTGACTTCATAGCTCAGTTGACAATAGCATCCAACTAGTATCTGGAAGGCAGGGATTAGAATCCTATGGGAGCCTGAATTTTTAAGGCTTTTCTTCTGCAATTTCCGAAAATTTTGAAGCTCACCTGTTAGGATCATTCCTTTACTTACATGTGTATAAATCAAGCCACTTTCCTTGTCTCCTGGCCAGTCTTCTCCAAATCAAACAAACAAATGGTCTTCTGCATCCATTTTTCTGAATGCACATCAACAAGGGTCCCTGTGAAATATTAATGATAAACGCACATCAAAAAAGGATGAGGTCACATTCTTAAAGGATGCTGCACAAGCTTGAGGGCAACTTTACAAGGGGCAGCACAGCAAGAGGGTTACATGGTATGTTTTGGTTACAAAAATCGTTCAGGATAAAAGTAGACATTACATTGAGCAAGTTGAGGCTGCAGGGCTGGCCTCAAGAGAAAGCTTTGGTACATGACTGGAAGTTATGACTGGTTTTATTAAAGCATATCAATGGTTGAGAAAGTACGATTGAGTTTTACCTTTAACAAACCTTTGGGCGTTGGGATGCAATCCAACAAAATAAAGGATTATAGCTTTAATTTTTGAAACAGGATCAAAAACCACAACTATAAATGTAGAAGAATTCAGAATTCATCCTTGGACTGTGCAGATCTGCTCCTTCAACAACTTTCATGAATTCCAGTCAAGGAGTCCTGAGTGATGTGGTTGGCAAATGTTAGATTTCTCCTAGTTCTTTTATGTGTTTGCTCATTCATCCTTTCATTCTTTCAAACAAAATTAAACCGTTAAATTCAATTCCAGCCTAACTCTTGTCTGGATGGTTTCCGCTTGTTCTCAGGCACATACCAGAGTTTCGTTTCATATTAAAAAAACAACAACAACAACATTTGAGAAAATAACTCTCTGATCATTCTACGATAAAATTTCAACTTCCATTTTGAAGATCAGGTAAAATTCCTGCACAGCCCTATCCTATATTATGCATTCCGTTCTTGGATAGAGAAAACAATGACAAAAACAATACATTGCCATTGGGAAAACAGATTGTTTTACAATAGTATGGGGCTGTGCGGAAATTTTTCTAAGATCAGCTTCTAATGATGTTGGTGATTGCCTCTTTGGGGGGTGGGAAGGGGGTACCATTTTCCTTTCCTATGGTATTAAAGGTTGGGAACCTTTCATTGGGCCTTATAGACCATAAACTTGCGTTAACCAATCAGAATCTGAATTTTTTTTTCAGGTCTCATTTCAACTATTAGTTGAGTAGTGTTCATAGTTGCGATGATCGCTTATATCTCATTTCTTCATGTCACGGCAGTGCATATATATGATTTCATATAATTCCAGTCATCATTCACCATTCTGAAGGTTTATTTGAATCCAACATTATGACCAGCTCCCAGTTGGCTTGTTAGCTCAGTTGGTAGAGTGCTGCACCGGTATCGCAGAGGTCATGGGTTCAAATCCCGTACGGGCCTGAATTTTTTCAGGCCTCGTTTCAACTACTAGTTCAGTAGTGTTCATAGCTGCGAGGACCGCGCATATCTTAGATTATACGTTTTTGTCCAAGGCATTCTGGCATTTGTACGCGTGTCATATCAGCGTTCAACAGAGCTTTAATTAGTACTACACATATGATACGACCAGAACAGAACAACAACTCACTAACCAATGACCACAGTGAAGCCTGATGTTCCACACTCAGCGTTCAGTGAGAGGAAGAACTGAAGTTAGACGCAGAAGATTAAACGTCAGAGCAGGCAGCGAGCACAAGCTTTATTTACCTTAGCTTAACAGTAGTAGTTAAGGGGCTCCTCTGGCTAGTAACCAATCACAGAGCAGTATTTTGTACCATGTGACGCAAATGGAGCAATCAGAAGCCTGAATTTGGGTTAGTACTCAGATTGTGAAAAATTAGCGGCCCTAGTCGGAAATGATGTGACATGAGCCAGGGAAAAGATGTCACGTAAGAAGGGAAGTCAGGCCCGTACGGGATTTGAACCTCAGCGATGACCTCTGCGATACCGATGCAGCGCTCTATCCGTACGCTCTACCCGTACGCTCTACGCGCACGCTCTACTCGTACGCTCTACCCGTAAGGGGCTTAATTTTTTTCAGGTTTTATTTCAACTAATAGTTCAGTAATGTTCATAACTGCTAGGATCGATTCTATATTCGTTTTTTAAACCGCATTGCACACATATGATTTTCGTCTGTTTACAGCCATAATTCACCACTTCGAAGGTTTATTTAGATAATGACCAGCTCCCAGTTGGCCTGTTAGCTCTGTTGGTTGAGCGGTGCACCGGTATCGCAGAGGTCATGGGTTCAAATCCCGTACGGGCCTGAATTTTT